ATATATATATTCAGATATAACTTTCAAGATATATTCAACATATATCTTAAAAAGTTATGGGAGGGAGTAATACGAGTTGTGGGCATTCATTAAGCTACATTTGGTTTATTTATGTTTTCAACATGTGTAGGTCTCAATGCGAACCTAGCGGTATGTTGCGACGGATTTAAAGGTCTAAGTCGCGTTTTTCTTCTTCGTGTTGTGATACTAGTTTTAATGTCATGAGAGTCATTTGTTTCGCAGAAGTTCATATGTTTAAGTAGGTGTTATTTCTAGAAATGGATCTTTCGAGTGGAATATACAAATATTCATAAATGCTTCCTTTGTATTTCGGAATGATGGCTGCATTTATTCAACGAGAGCGTTATAAAAGTGTGTCAAGATAATGGCGCTTACCACCCTGCTTAAAGTTATGGAATGTTGACATGTAATCATCAGTATCTTCCGAAAATGAATAGCATGTGAGTGATGAAATTTAGCTTTTCATTTGAGTGGTGTTTTTAAAACGTGTTCTCTACTAATTGGTTATAAGAAATCTCACTAACTCACCATTATCTTCTGTATTTGGTTTGAAAGATGAATATCCCCCATGAATCACATACAGTTTAAACTGTTTTTTGGCTAAATAAATCTAAATATAAATTCTCCGACTTGGTATCATATCAAAGAATAATCAGTTATATGGGCGCGTTTTCGTGAGCCCTAGAATGCCGACCCCCTCCTCTTTACTAACATTGTAATATCGTGTAGGGCCCCCGCGAATGCACGGGCGTGCCGCAACACGACGTGGAATGAACTCGACTAATGTCTGAAGTAGTACTAAAGAAATTGGACATTATAAATCCTGCAGAGCTATCCACAAAATTGTAAGAGCACAAGGGGGTGAAGATCTCTTATGAACGGCACGTTTTATGGCATCCAAGATATGCTCAATAATGTTCATCAATGGGGATTTTTTTGGCCAGTGAAAGTGTTAAAATTCAGAAGAGTGTTCCTGGAGCCACCCTGTAGCAATTCTGGTCGTGTGGGCTGTCGCATTGTCTTGCGGGAATTGAGGGGAGCAGGTGATCAGACAGGATGCTGTACTTACTCGTACCACCTGTCGTATCTAGGCGAATCAGAGGTCCCATATCGCTTCAACTGCACATGCCTCATACCATCACAGAGCTTCCACCAGCGTGAAGAATCACCTGTTGACATGCAGGGTCCATGGATTCATGAGGTTGTCATACTCGTACACGTCCATCCGCTCGAAACAATGTGAAACGAGACTCGTCAGACCAGGCATCGTGTTTCCAGTCAGCAATAGTCCAATGTCAGTGTTGACGGGCCCAGGTGAGGCGTAAAGCTTTTTATTCGCGCAGATATCAAGGATACACGTCTTGGGCTCCGATATATCGATAATGACTCGTTAAATGGTTCGCACGCTGACGGTGATGACACAGCATTGAAATATGCAGCAATTTGCGGAAGGGTTGCACTTCTGTTACGTGCAATGATTTTCCTCAGTCGTCGCCGATCCCGTTCTTGCACGCTCTTTTTGAGGCCGCAGCGATGACGGAGGTTTGATGTTTTATCGGATTCCCGATATTCATGGCACACTCGTGAAATGGTCATACGGGAAAATCCAAATTTCATCGCGGCCTCGGAGATGCTAGGCCCCATCTCTGTTGCGCTGACTATAGCAAAACGTTCAAACTCACTTAAATCGTGATAACCTGCCAGTGTAGCAAGTGTAACCGATCTGACAACTGTGCCAGACTCTGGTTGTCTTATATAGTCGTTGTCGGCCGCAACTCCGTATTCTGATTGGTTCCACATCTCTTTATTTCAATACGCTTGGCTGTACCAGTTTTTTGGCTCTTCAGTGTAATATCTTCTATCTATACTAATATCTAAAGACATAAGGGCGTCGAGTTCCTACGCGATAATCTCTGAGTATACTGAACCAAAATCGATGAAACTTTTGCATTAGCTGCACTTCAAGGTCAGAAGTGCTAAGGCTATGATTTACAATCATCAACTTAAATATATTCCCAAAATAATTACTTTTGTGAGCATTTTTCGTTTAGCGTTACATCACAGATTCAAGAGTGCATCAATATGCTATAATTTAGCAGCACACCACGGACGTACGTTTAAAAAAGCCACTTTTTCGGTATCAGCGGACCCCAAAATGTTTATTTCCGTTGAAATCTCGTAATCGATTTTCCGCAGCATTACATAACTTTTCCTATACTATGTATATTACTCCGTATATACGTATGTACACGGGAAAGTAAAAAATATAAATATTTTTTATCGCGAAAGTGAGTGAGGAAGACCAGATGGGAGCAATGCGGAGAAGGGCGGACCGGATACGATAGAAGTAGGCTCCACCGCAGGACGGAATTAGATGATTTGATTTATTTAGTCAAAAAACTGTAGAAACAGTATCTGACGTATGGGGGGAGAAAATCAACTCCGCAACTCTTTCTGTCTAATAAATTATTATAAATACTAGGGCAACGCCGAATACTTCAGCTAGTGCAATAATACATGCCGAAGATAGAAACGAATAATAAATTAAATCTTGGATACGTAAACAGCCGATTGTCCTCGTCCTCATGTAAATATGATAATTCTTTCTGATTCGCAGCAAAGTAGAATTCTGTGGAAAATAGCTTAATTAGTTGTTTACACCATTTCATTGTGAACATTTATTTCTGTAGTGAGTCCACACTAGTTACCAAATAGTTTGAAGTGTAATAAAATCTTGAAAAAGGCAACTTCAAAAAGCAGATTCACGCACACTGTCTTAGGACCGATCCTCATGTGATTTACTGCTTCCGGACAGT